TCTATCCATAACCACAAAAATCCAAACTTTACACGATCTACATAATGGAATCGAAATGAACATTAAGCACAAATCTAACGAAATAACCAGTACAGCCTTAAGGAAAAAAACCCTAACTTTACACGGAGCAAAGAAATCCAGTCACATGTACTCCTACAGAGAACCCCAGACGAAGCGAATAACCCAGCAAGACCGAAACGGCTACAAAAAACCCTAGCTTTACACGAAGAAAAACCCTAGCTTTACACGAAGAAAAACCCTAGCTTTACACGAATCCAAACCCTTAGCTTTCCATAGGCTAAGAAAAACGAAGAACAAGCAAAATCGGGAGAAAATAAGCAAATATTGTACTTTGAAGAACGAGAAAACTTCACATTTTAGCAAAAGAAAAAAACAAAAAAAAAATCAAAAAATGGAAGAGAAAGAAAACTGACCGCTTTCCGGTGACAGGACGGCGAGGAATTTGCAGACTCAGATTAGTAAGGAAGAAGAGTGAAGGGACGTACAGTTATACTGGCTCAATGGCTGTTACTGGCTCAATGGCTGTTATAACTTAATGGGCCAAATACGTCAAAGCCCAAATTCGAGAAATAAACTTAACATAAATGGGCTTTAAGGCCCAGATATTTTAAGCCCAATAGCTTATATTCTGGCCTTGTAATAATAATCGAGAAGGTTTCTTCTTCTCTAACGGCGGCGAGAGGAACGGAGGAGAAACCGACGATAAGTCGCCGGAGAGAGAAGCGATGCTTACAGCGAGCTTTTACTCACCGTCGGTGCTACTGCTGCTGTTTTAGGTGAGTTTCTCTTGCTAACATTTCTCACGAAACGAGCCTTGTTCTTCTTCCAAATTCGTCTGGAGATAGATACTTACTTCGATCGGATTTTTTCCTTAGAGATGATTCGACTCAGTGAATTCCCAATTCCTTATAGATGGTGTCATGAAACAACCTCAGATGCGAGAGGTTCCATTTCCTATCTGTTCTCGAATTTCCAATTCAACATTGTTCGAATCTTGAATCAAAGGGACTTGTGTAGTGGAATTTGAGGGTATATGTAGAAATGGTAGCTAGCTTGATCATGTATCTATGCAAGATCATATGTTCTTTGAAGTTATTACCCAAAACATGTAGACAAGTCTTGTGATCTTTACTCTCCTACTTGTTCAGCTTTCGAAAATGTTCAAGATTTGCAGGCACAATTGGATGCTATTAGCCATGGAGCAAGACTCTCTCTGTTTAATCTCGGTTAGATCATATCTCAAAGGGGTGTATCCACGGAGACACAACTCGTTGAAGATGTAGCTGATGAAGTATGTCTGCTCTGAGTCCTGGTTGTCACCACAAAAAATGACTAATATAGGATAAGACCCCGTATTGCTATGCTCAAACAATCTAAGCTGGAGAAGAGTTTCATCTTCCTCGAGTTTCTCTCTCAATTCTAGCATCTCGGAGGATGTTTGATCCGGAAGAACATTATCCCTCGGTCATTTTATAATTTACCCATATAAACTAAAATCAATATTTGGCGTTGCAACAAATTTCTTAAATTATGTAAAAATATTTATAGAAGCTGTTTGATCTTTACTAAAATATAATGTACCCATATAAACTAAAATCAATGTTTGATCTTTACTCTCCTACTTGTTCAGCTTTCGAAAAATGTTCAAGATTTGCAAGCACAATTGGATGTGCTATTAGCCATGGAGCAAGACGCTCTCTGTTTAATCCCAGTCCTTTGACTCCAAGAGTGGATAACCATTCTCCATAATCCAATCCTAGCACCAATGGTAAAATAAACAAACCAATCACAAAATGCAATGGTAATAAGATTCTCTGACTCTTCATTATGTATTTTCTTTCCAAAAGTAGCACATAATGCGAAAAAACTATTTTGCACAAGCCGGAAAAGGAAATTCCATCTTCAAATGGTGAACTTATTATTTGATCTAGATCTGATTGTAAAAGTATTTCATTGTTAGATTGTATCTGCGTGAACTCGAGAGAGTCTGTTTGTATTACCTGGTCCTGGGTTTTGGTTAAAGTTATTTACTCAGAAGTAGGCTTGTAGGAAGTTTTCTTGTTTATAAATTTGCTCAAACTCCTCCACAAACATTTTGTTATTAGAAAGGAAAATAGAAAGGTTGGTAAGTGCCATTTACATGTTTGTGGGTTACTGTGTTGGTTGTACAAATGTTTGTGTTCACGCATTCATGTAATTAAAACAATCAAGGTCTATATAATGTAATTTAAATTAATCGAGAATAAAGAATCTACTTAAACTTAGTCGAGGAACAAGAGAAAATAGTTCAATAATAAACGCATCCTTGCAAAAGAGAAAGGTCAAAGGGCTATAGATGAGCCAAGGTTCGAAAAGATATTCATTGAAACTAAACTCCACTTCTTGTTATGAACTGATCTAAATCCTTATTAAGACGAAAAGCCAATAACCACGATACTGAAGTGGCACTAATATATAAGGTCGATAACAGAGCACTTATTGAAAAAAGGGACCCAACTTGATTGTTCTTCTTCCCCATCAACACAGACAAACTTTTACTAAACGTTTCTTCATACCTGCAAGAGTATTTAACAATATACACTATTAACTTAAACCCAAAAGCAATTGTGTAACTCCAAAAACCTAAACTTTCATACCTTAAAGCTGGTTTGTTGCCTTCTCCGTCTTCTGCCCAAAGGTTTCGATGATCTTCACGACTTTTTGGTGTATGTCGTTGTTGTCATGATTTTGAAGTTGCTCAATCTTCTCAAGTACTTTTGCATCGTCTATCATTATTGAAGCGTAGAGGATATCGCCCAAGTTCTTCTCTGCTTCTCCAACAATGAGAATTTTCTCCAAGGCTTCTAGGCAAACCGTTATGATGCTTGGTTCTGGGCACGTAAGAAGATTGCATACCGGTTCGATACAACCTTGACTCACCATGAATCTGGGAAGCAACAACAAATAGAGACAAGGGTTTCATAATGGTTTTTATACTGACAGTGTTGTTTGTGTTTTTTTTTTTGGGAGGTTGTACCTGATTTGTTCTTCAGTGCCACGAGCAGTAACATTCGAGATCCCCACAGCAGCTTCTTTTTTCACTTTGAAATCTGCGGTTTGAAGCAACAGAACAAGTGACTGAATTATGCCTGCGTCAATCACTTCCTGCACATTCGGGTTTAAATCAAATCAGACACAAGAAAGTTATATATTTATCGACTAACAAAATTGCTAAATGTTGCATGTACAAATAAAACTCACTTGTATCTGGTTTGAGTTCCCAGCTGCTGTGATGTTGGAGATGGTCCAGCACGCTCTTCTTGACAATCTTCTTGTAAGAGTTATTTGTTAACAGGTTCAAGAGAGGATGAAGCACTTGATGGTTGAGAACCATCTGTAAGGAGAAAAAGTTCAGAGACGATTCTTTTCTAAAAATGTCCAATTCTAATTGTGAAAATGTCCAATTATATGCACCTGAGTCTGGTCATCACGACTGGTTACAATATTCCCAATGGTACGAAGAGCAGGAACCAACACTGATGGCGACGGATGACTGAGAAGATGAAGAGGAAGCAATCAGTTCAGATAACACAAATCATGGCCACACATAAAAATTACAATCACAACCAAATACTTACCATAAGATATTGATGAGGTGAGGGATTACGCCTGCATCGATAACTGCCTGCCTTATGTCGGTTGACTCATCAGAGAGGTATGACAGAGCTGAACATGCATCTTTGAGAACCTCTTCATCTGTTGACTGCAAAAGGCGCTCAAGAACGGGTATGGCTGGTTTTATCTGTGCTCAGAAACGACATATCAGAGACAAGTTAGTACAATATATAATATAGAGACTCCAAATTTGGTTTGTATAGTACGAAACCTGCTCAAACGAAGGCTGTGGCTTCCCTCTGCACAAGTTTGCTAAGGTCCATGTAGCAATCCTCTGCATCGAGAGCTTTGAATGCTCATTGAAGTGAGACAGAAGAGGTAACATGGCATTGTGATTTAGGACAACATCACGGTATTTTGGTGAGTTTGCAGCTACATTTCCAAGTGCGCGAACCGCCTATATTCAGGAATAGCACACAATGAATTTACACTCTATCCTAAGCTCTAAGAGTTTCTTTGATAACAAATAGAGATGTCAGACGGGTCAGCCGGGTCAGCCGGCATCCAAGTAACCCAACCCGTAACGGACAAAAAAATTTTTTTAACCCATACGGGCTGGCCCGTCGCGGGTTACGGGTTCGAAATATATGTCCAGGCCCGTATTACTTGGACAAACGGGCTAACGGATCAGCCCGCGGGTTATGATAGTTTTGGTACAACGTACAAAAAAAGTGCAATATTGAAACACAAGACATGAATGAAACAAAACTAATGTGTATTAGAATACACATTAGTTTTGTTTCATTAACCAAGACAAAAAGAAACGGGTTTGAACTACTTCAAATATATAGTATACAAAACTGATGTGAATCAAAAGGAAACTTTCGTCTACGGTCTTTTTGATATCTAAATCAAATTAYAAACATCAATAGCATATCAAAATATCAAAATTTAAAATTCCAAACCGAGRCATAGTCTTT